CCGCCGTCCAGTTCGTAGTGATTCTAGAGCTGTTTTACTCATGTCATCGCTACGTATGTAATGGAGTGAGTGTGCACTTAATAGGATGATAGATGGTAGGCTCATCAAGTTGGGTACAAGGTTACTAGAACCACTTTATATGTGCAACCAAACAGTGTGCTTTGCATCAGAACACCTATACATGGGCAACCAAACACAACGCATAACTTGTTGCCTTGATGCAAGGGAGGGAATATATAGCCAACCAAACAGTGTACAGAACATGATTTTCTGTCTGCATTACCTCAGATAGGCTCATATACGCAGGCCAAACACATTGTAAGCTTACGTTGCATGTGATTCTATGGATTTGTGGATTTGCTAATGACATATCGGAATGTGAAGCGGACAGATTAGGGTGATCGGTCGCTGTTCATGCGCGTCTACGGATTAGCTAGGTCTGGCTGTATATATAGATGCTCTGAAGTCCGAAGGCTGATGAATTTTTTGCATATTTTCCTCGAACGACTAAATCCACGAGCTCCCACGTTGTAAGGCTGCTGCCAATGCGGGGCCTTCTCCGACAAGGAGGTCCCAATACCCGGCTTGCTCTGGCAACTTGTGCACGCGGCTCTGTTGGATTGGCTGCGCCGGTTTCAAGACGGCGACCTCGTCCCAGAATCTTCGCGGTAATATGCCCACCGGATGACTGGAGCTCCGGCGTGCTGCATGGAAATCCCCAGAGTGCCCGCCGCTGCGCGCCCCGTAGACTCGAGAAACATCAGGGGCATTTCGGACTTCCGTCCAGTGAGGTGTCTGTCAGCGCTAAGCCCCCACGCAATCGCCACGGCCACACCAGCTCCTCCGTTCGCGCTCACTCGCGGGGTCCTCCGGCGGCGATGCGGAGCAGCAGCCATGGAGGTGCTCAGCTCCAGCCGCTTCTCTAGCGCTTTCCCCAGCCTCCTCGACCACTTCTCCAGGCCGCCAAAGTCCCCGCGCCACCACCGCCGTTGTTGTCTCCAAACACTAGCATCCGTGCCTGCCGATGCCGCCGCGCCGTCGCCCTCGTCCTCGCGGCCGCCGCCGTCGCTCTCCCGGCTCCTCGCCGCCGCGATGCGGGGAGGGCGCGCGCGGGGGGAGCTTCCGGGCCTGGCCGCGGCAGGAGGAGGCGGGGCGGGGATAGGGACGCTGCTGATGAGCACGACGGCGGCGGCGGTGACCAAGGCGCGGGAGAGCCCGTACCTGCTGGCGCTGGCGTCGAACCCGACGTTCGTGTCGGGGATGGTGGCGTTCGCGGTGGCGCAGGCCACCAAGGCCCTGCTCACCTCCGTGGTGGAGCGGCGGTGGAGCCTGCGGACGCTGTGCAGCTCCGGGGGCATGCCCTCCTCGCACTCCGCGCTCTGCACCGCGCTCACCGCCTCCGTCGCGCTCTGCCACGGCGTCGGCGACGCGCTCTTTCCCGTCTGCCTCGGCTTCAGCCTTATCGTCATGTACGACGCCACGGGCGTCCGGCGCCACGCCGGGATGCAGGCCGAGGTGAGCTCATGCTGCTTGCATTTATTCATTCTGTGATTTACTTAGTTGCACGGGAGTATGTTTTATTCTGGCAGATGTTGTGTTAGATGAGCAGAGCTCACTGTATAAAGTGAAGCAGGGTTCAGAGGATGGGTGAATTTGAGCTCATTGTTGTTTGGGGAGTAGAATGTTTTCCAGTTCTGTCAACGGATGGATGAGTTTAAGCTCAGCTCAGGTCACACTTCTGGCATCCATGTCGTCCTTCACCAGGGATAAACTGTCAAATGTTCGGTCCATAATGGTGCTAGATGCCGTTTCATGCTAGATTCCCTAGGATTTTTGGGATTCTACCAGTTGTTACATTTGCGTGAATGCATGCACAGTTTGATGTTTGGCAGTTTGAGGATGTAGACTGACACTAAACCGTTATGAGTGTGGATAGAGGGTACACTGGTATGGGGGTACAAACCAGAACTTTCCCAATCTGTTATTGGGCTTGTTCTTGTTGCTCTGCTTTACTTGATTCAGTGTGACCAAATTTTGCTGAATGTTAAGACTTGAGCTCAAAGAAGTTCTCAGCCCATTGTCTGGTACATCCAGGACTAGATTTCATTTTATTCGGATTGCTTGTATGTTTTCATTGTTAGACAGGTCTTAAGTCTAACCACCCTCCTTTGAAAAATGAAAACTGATTGTTCATATGTGCAGTACAATTGAAAGTTCGAAACTGCATTATGAATGGCGACCATGATTTGCCATATTTGCGAAACTATGCTGGTTGTATTTGTATATAGCTAGATAAGATCAGTCTCAGGGCCTCGGATTGGACATCCTGTCAAGTTAGCCAAACTGCAGAAGTCAGCTGTTTGATGCCCTGACTCGAATTCTGAAAGATTTCATGCATGGCTTGTCTCTTTTGGTGTACAAGACTAAATACGCGGTTCTTTAGACTTTAGTACCCATAATGAATCAGGTCACCAGTTTATAAGCTTGCTTGTTGGTTATGTTCAGGGGTGGTAATTGCTATGACACGCTGTTCGTAACTTAGAGTTCCATAAATCTGTAGTGACTAGCTAGCAGCTCAAATTTGAACTTCTGCCACTCCATTGCTTTGTTGATACACCACACCTCACCTTGCAATAACGAGTAATGCTACATCCACGGGCATGTCACGGGTACCTGAGTAGATTATCGCATTCTGAGTTGATGACACTGAAATGGCACTGCCAGTGCCAGAGCATCAACCAAGCGCGCTCTAAGTCTCTCAGCTTGGTTTCGGATACATACAAGCCTAGTGACTAACCTGGCACCTCCCATCCTTCAAATATCGTGGTTACATCTTTCCCGCCGATGAGCGTCTGTTGTTTGCCTATTATCTGCCTGAAATGTATGCTCTGTGATTGATGATGATGCAGGTGCTCAATAAGATCGTTGAGGACCTGTTCCAAGGCCACCCCATCAGCGAAAGGAAGCTCAAGGAGCTGCTAGGGCACACCCCGTCGCAGGTCTTCGCCGGCGCGTTCCTGGGCATCCTGGTGGCCTGGTTCTGCTGCCAGGGCTGTATCGGTGCCATCTGATGCTGCCGTTGTAGCATGCCTGACTGCTTCAGAAATGGAGTCATTTTGTACCATCATTGGGGGGAAACATTGGTATTTTGTTTTCTTGGCGTAATGTTGGTTGTACATAATTGCATGGATGGTATCACAAACTTCTCAATTCATAGTTGAGACTTTGGTCTGATTTGAGATTTATATGGTTTTGGTAGTCCTGCCTGCTTCATGGCCGGTGTCCTCTGGATGACTAAACAACAAGAATCAAAGCTAGTACTTCCTCTTCGGAATTACTTGTCACAAAAATGGATGTATCTACAAGTAAAATACATCTAGATACATTCATTTCTTGGACGAGTAATTCCGAACGGAGGGAGTAGTAATACATAGAGAAGTGAGTTTTGGCGCGCTCGTACACCATCCTTTTGAGGCGTTTTCCCCTGGAAAATGGGGATTTTTGCCACATCGAATCTCCGATCTGACCTTTGCCTTTTGTATCAGAAATGCTTTCTACTTGGATCCCGTTTTGTTAACTTACTACTGCATATAGGCACTTTGCCTAGCCGATCGTTGCATGCTGGCCACTGCTAGCCAGGGAACCTAAAGAGGCAGAGGAGACTCAACCACCCAAAGCCTCTCGGGGTTGACGATCTTGTGGTTTGTCGTCGAAATTCTTCAGTGATGTTGTGCATCACACCAAAAAAAGGCCAAAATTCTGTGGCAGCATTTCATAAGTTTGATGGGCAATGGTGCAACTAGCTAAAACCTTGGTTTTAAATGGGACTTCGTGCAGCTGTCGCGAGCTAATCTCATGCACATGCACCTTGACAAGCCTTTCATGTTGGATGAATAGAAATTTGCAGTTTCTGAACTGCACGTTGAGAAAGAAAAACAAATGGTTTCGTTGGTGCTTCTATAAACATTGACAGGATTTAATCAAAGATGAGCCGTTGACGGCGAAGATTCAGTGGCATAACCCAAGGGGAATCCCTGGCACTTGTTGAATACGGTAAACAGTGTTTTTACCCAAGAAAGTGAAACCATGTCGTACTTCAAAGCCCTTTGATTGCATGACAACGGTATGGAAGGACATTTCTAATGTCACAGGGGCAAATTTGAGCAGGCTTGGGAATTAGGGTAAATCCGAGTTGTAGGTTCGAGTTAAGGGCTAAAATGTAATTGTCCCTATTTTATATTATTGTATCTCTTCAATTCATTGTTCATATTTTCACTTCTTTCAGTGGTGCTCATTTGAGTAGGGAGCGTATTCATTGAAAGTATTGCTAGATACCGAGCTCATGTGAGCTCGGGTGAACAATAAAATCGATTTTTTTAAAACAACCGATTGTGTGTGTGTGTGTGTGAAACTTTGGCAAATGTTTTCATAGCTTGTAAAATTTCATCACCAGATCATATTCGTGTTAAAAGTTAAAAAGAAACAAAATCAATGCTCCAAAACGCGTTTGAAAATAAAATTTTGGAGCATCAAATTGTTTTTGCCACATTTTATACGAATGAGATCTGGTGATAAAATTTTGCAAGCGGTCAGAACATTTATCAAAGTTTCACACAAAAAATAATTTTTTTTGAATTTATTTAAAAATTTTATTTTACTGTTCACCCGAGCACACATGAGCTCGGGATCATAACAGTCGCGTCCTCTACACTATACACTAGTGCCCCCTTCCTTTTTTAAAACATCCTTTGTAGCCATGCATTTTCACATAGTCCACACCTGCCAAACATTTTGTTCGACACTTATAAATTCGTTATGTCACAAATATCAATGTTAGTTTTAGAAAGTTCCAAAAATCCACCAAAAGTGTCAACAATTCCATCACAACAAGTGTGGCACGAAACAGAATAGTTTTGTTGTGAGTATTAACCCCAACAATCGAACCAAACGGACGCCCATCATCTATTTGTATGTATGTGGTGTCAAATCATATAACATCACACTGCTAAAAAATCATATAACAACACTAAATATTGCATAGTCCAACACATTTCTGGAGACAGCCAAAAAATCTTAGTTACCAAATCATTCTCATCTACCTGAATTGAATAGAAAAAATGACATCTTCTGGTATTTTTTTTCATCTATTCCAATACTATCCCTGTGTCACCTTCCATCGCATTTATTTTTCTATTTTAGTACATATGTCTTTCACATGTTCACGTCTAAATCCAATGTTTTCAATTCTACATGCTTCTTTTGGCCCCCGAATTGATTATTGTTTTATTTGAAATGCCTACAGATTTGCGACCTCTGTGTTCTATATTTATTTTATATTGTTTTTATTTGGGATCTCGAGTGTTGGACCATGGTTCTATGGAAAGAATTTGGTTACATGACACCTAAAATTCATAAACAACATTAAATTTGTTTCCAAGGCTGATCTTCATATGAAAATCACATCGACATCGTGTTTTAGGCCTACAGTAATTCAATGTCTCCTCTCTTTCATCTTTCGATGATAGTGTATAAGTTGTAATGATTGTCTTAGATCATAAGGAAGCGACTAGAATGAAATCAAACTACAAGTAACCTCCATTAACGAGAAGATGTTAATGTTCACTGTTGCATTGTTGAAGAGTTCTTCACTTTATGGTCATTACTTCTTTTGATATGTTATAAAATAAATAAGCTTCCTCTTTTGATAAAAGTTTCATGCCAAAATTTCTTATCCTTTCATCGATGCAATTTGATTCAATTTCTTGCCCATCATATATCAAATAGGATTCAATCTAGTTAATACATAGATGTGTCTATCACATCTGCATTGCGGGTTGGGAAGTTTTTTGCAAGGCCGGTTCAAAAAAATGAAATAGAAGAATTAGTATGTCACAAGTTTTCAGAGGAATTGCAATCATTTTGACTTTGAATGTTTACACAGTTTTGGCTGCTTGGCATTTTTCTATGGCTGTGGAGGGAATGAGGCAGAAAAATCAGCCAATGGCAAAATTATTTTTGCCAATATTCATTTAATGAAGTGCACATGATAATTATATCTTGTGCAATTTACTTTAAGTTATGATTAACTTTAGTGATAGGATGACCTATATGTTAAATTGATGCTGGTTTTTGTTGTGTACGATTCTTCCAAACAATGTTGCAAACACTCTATCTTAAAAGGTAACCATAGAAAGAGTTCTTAGATGCAACAATGATTAAGATTTTTCTCAAATGTGGCTTTTGACTTGGTAGCAGCCGCACAGTATGACGTTTTCCTTTTAATCTTGTTTTCTTGTCCGTTATATGCATTTTATGAGTTCAGAATTTCACATATGTTGCTGCTAATCATATTGCCCATTAGTCTATGAACTCAAGAGGGGAAATGAGGTATGGGTTTGTCCACACTCCCCACATTTGTTTGGTATAGTTTGTCAACCAAATTCCATAAATCATAAGTGTGTCCTGCAATCATATTTGTTTCGCATTGCAGGATGTGAAGTCTTCCACAATCGGTTCAAAATGAAGAATTAAGAGTTTGGATGTAATTCATTGTGAATAATGGAACGGATTTCCTAGTTTTTGTGCATGAGATTCATCATCAGCAACTTGGTTCCCCGGATCAATCCTGAAAGAAGCCACCGAGGCATGGGAGATTCCTTCACTGATGAGTTGGAGAGATTTGTCTATGCTCTGCTTTGGTTAAGCCACTATTGATTGCCCTGTCTCCCATATACTTTTGCATTAGTGGTGGGTCTAGATTTTGGCACATGTTGTGCATTTTTGGATATGATGAAATATTTCCTCCATTTTGATTTTTTGCTTTAGTGTTTTTAGAATTTATGGAAGGGAATCGGCATACACCTATATTCTTATTTTACACAAAAGCACGAGAGGGGTGCAGGGGCACCACCATGCGATGGATGCCACGTGCACTGGTGGCACCAATGATCGCAAGCCTAGACATAGGCAATCCATGTCCACTCCATATGCCTTGTGTGTGAGTACCAAGGCTGTGAGACCAATAAGAGGGGAGGGGGTGTACAAAATCTGAACCAAAAATTTAGCTAACCGCCGCACGTGTTTCTCCCGTCATTGATCATAAAATCCTTCGTATAATATCAGTTGATGCGCCAGCGGTGCATGATTAATGTCATGATCCTCCACACCCACGTGCCGTCACACAGGGTTGTTTGTTCGTATCGTATCGCCAGATATGAGTTGATTCAAATCGGATTGAAGAAATCAAAGGGGGACCAAACCACCTAAGGCTCAAGATGTACATACCCTTTATAAGCACCTCACCCCGTCGATTTCCACGCATCGGAACGTAACTACACACAATAATGCAAAAGTGTACACATACAGTGAGGCAGGTACACAATGGAAGCCATGTCGCTGCCCGGTGGCGCCCGTGAGAAGGTGGACTCGAAGGCGGCGGTGAAGCCCCAAATGTTGACAATCAAGGTGGTGGGTCAGGAGAAGGTGGTCCACCACACCATGAGGATGACCGACAAGCTCAAGGTCCTCATGGACGTGTGGTACCACAAGGTGCCCAACGTGACATATGGCACCGGCGTCTTCCTCTACGACAGCTTGCGGGTGCGTAGAAATATGACCCCGGTGGGCCTTGAGATGGAGGACGGGGACATGCTTGATTTCTTTGAACATATAGATGGTGGAGCTGGACCATTCATTGTTGGATCTATGTAGTATGTCGGTCGATGTTTGCGCACTAGGCGGAGTTGTTGTAACTTGAAGCATATGTCTCTTGCAGAATTTGTATTGCTAGATCTTATTTCAAGGAAATTTGTGATGTGAGCGGCTCAAAATATTAGATTCTTTGAACTAGTTTCGCTCATGTATTATCATTATTATCTGGGTTTTTGGGAGTGCTCATTAGTATCTATTTTGTCATATGTTTGAACAGTGGTTTCTTTTATGGTGAGTTATTTGAATTAAAACAAATGTTGTGTGTAATTTTGCTTTCGTTTATTTTGTTTTATTCTTAGTGCTATGTTGTTTGCCTTTCTTCTTGTTCGGCTAGTGTTTTATACGTTTACTTACAAAAGTA